GCGAGCCCGATTCTGGGTGGTGTGCAATTATGTGTCGCACAGCCGCTCTCCATCGAGGAGAAACAAACAGTTCGGCTTCAACCGGTTATTCTTCTGTCAAACAATGGAAAGCAAGATTTCTGTCTCATATTTAGTTTGTGAGATATCTCCACACGGAGGTTCACCGTATGGAGAGAAACAAAGCCGGAGGCCTGCGTGGAATTTGGAAAGAGGCTTCAAAACCCGGAGTGTGAGATTTGGTTCAAACCACCACACCGTTGCCCTCGCGGGAGGAGAGCCGCGGGGCCCCCAGGGAGCCCGATGTGACACCCGCCACGGCGTCTCCAAGGCGATGTTCAACAGCGCCTACCTTCCCACTTCCCACCCGACTCACGCCGCTAAAAGTACATATACGCAGAAATGATGAATAATTCATAATACTAATTAGTGTTTTTATGTTCAGGGGCTCTCATTGTGGCTCAGAGAGAATCCGTCCATCCATCCTTCATCGTGTTTAAGCCTCCGTCGGGTGACGCGAGCCACACGAGGCGCGTTGTGACACGTCCTTTGTGGCCTTTCGTATCATTTCAGTAATGAGTTGATTCCCGACGCGGCTTAGTGTGTGACCCCCCCCCACACACACACCTCGCCCCCCCTTTGCAGTAGGCTCTTTAGTGACCCATAAACACTGATTATTGTCTGAGTGCCTTTTGTCACACTTTCACACGTCGCTTGGGTTCATTCCAGCGCTTCTTTGGGGCCGATCCAAGAGCAATAGGAAATTAGGCTGCAGGAAGTTGGATGTTTTTGCAGCTCAGGGAGGAAAGCCCCCCCCTCCCCCCCCAGTCTCTCTGATAACACGTGAATCGACTCATCGGCATGAAGTGTGAGGAGCAGAACTCTGATGCATTTGCAGATGATGTCGTTTGCCGACTCTGCTGACACCTTGAACCTCCGCCTGGAAGCGCCGCGTGATTCCGCCCTGCGGTGTCAACACTTCCGTTCACTTAAGCGGAACGCGATCAGGTAATCGGCGTGGAAGTGAAGTGGTCACGTTACGAAAAAGTCACCACGCACCAGTTGCCTCTCCTTATGCCGACGCATCGATAAGCAATGACATTTTACGGGGCTGAATTGTTATTTAACCACAAGCGCCTCAAAGTCTTTCACTGCACCTCGTCTCTAATGAGAGGAAGGGAGGATGTGTTGATAGTGGCGCAGAATGAGAGCGAAGGATGAGGTCATCAGGGAAAAAACTGTGTGGATTCGCTGGTGGGTTCGGCAGTGACGGCAATTGCACGGTTTCATTCATTGTTTGCTTGAGAAATGTCACTTTTGTAGCTTTAATGTTTGCATGGAGGAAAATAATACACAAGCCTTTTTAAGTGCAGAATATTCTATTATTCCGTTTCCCTGAACATTGTAACCCTTTCACATGCATTCCTCTGAAAATAGATCGCTGCTGTTGAAAATGCTGAAATTTGATTTTAGAGCATGTGGGCGAAATAAAACCGCCGCAGGCAGCGGAAGACAAACAGCAGCAGTATCAGCGAGTCATAAAATGATGGCCTTGATTTAGGGGAATGGCTCCGCAGCAGTTGTAAAACAATCATGAATAGTGGACATATAAAGGCTGATTGTGAACAGCCACCCCAAGCCAAACATATCTGGAGTTTTGCATCAAATTATTCCCAAACAACCTCGAAACCTCAAATCCCTCAACCACTATCGGCTATTCCAGATTGGGACAAACAGTGACATAATCTGATTAGGAGCCGAGCTGACAACTTGTGTGTTGTCACCAAAACATAACAACGACCTCAGATGCATTGGATTCGATGATTCGTGTTACACCAGAGCAACACATGTTTTGAGCGCTGTGTCGAGTTGCGGTGGAAGCACAACGCGAGGACGCGTCCTCCCCTTTTCTTTGGTAATCCGATGAGGTGTCGGAGCGGGCAGAGGCCCAAACGCGCCGTCACATCCAAAAGGAGTAATTGATCATTCGTTTGTCATCTGTTCGTCGTGTGTGTGTGCGTGTGTGTGTGTGTGTGTGTGAAGAACAGTATGATATTCAGACTGAGGACATTTTTGCAGAATGAGGTCATTTTGACTGCGTGTCACTTCTTTCACTGTCGAGGTTAAACTAATGCAATCAGAGCGAGGAGTGGATTCATGTCAGCTCCGGGTGAAGGTTAGAATTATCTCGTATACATGTATAGATTTCACAAGTCAATCAATAAAGATTGATTGATTATTTTACTAACTTTGGTGGCAATACGTTTTAAAGTCGGGCCTAATGGAATATTCCCGTTCTGCACTTTTAGTCACGAATGTATTTGTTCAGTTTGTTGTGTAGTTGGAAGTAAGTTCTGTAGTAATAATTAGTTAATCAGCAGAAAATTGAAGAGTTTGTCAATTAATAACGTTGTCGCTGTGAGCAACAGCATGACACATAGTTAGCTGATCCATGTTTTATATAAAGTGTTTGGCAGCTTGAAGCCAAAAGGAGCAACATTCTTTCCTTTCTGCTTCTCCGATGCTTCTGAATGTCACAGTTATAATAGATACAGACTGTTGGTCTGAGAATTGTGTTGTAAAGAAAACAAAACACGGTTAAGTTGTTACATAACTTTGCTTATATACTGTCCCAAATCCTCCAGCTTTAGCTCCCTTTAACAACAAACGGAATGTAAAGACTCCTTCAGGGTCAGTTTTTCCCACGCCCGATGATGATTCAGTGAAATTTAGATCTTGGCAGTGTAATTATGTTGGGAACCGCCGCACGCGATGGGACGCAAAGGTTGAGATACACATGAATGTGGAAAACGCCAGTGATGCAAAAAAAAAAAAAACATGGGGATTAGTGAGAAAATGGCTTTCTGGCTGCTCAGTATGTGACTTTGCTGCAGCAAAATGGGAAATTAAAGACTCCATCCAAAAGCTTACGCTCAGAGTGACACTCAGTACAAGAAAAGACGTTACCCAATGCAATACGGCTCTGTTGTCAAAAGCTTTGAAATGTATGGAATGTGAGCCTGAAAACACAAAATCAAAAGATGACATTCCAAAAATGCAGAAAAAATTCCTACGTTGGTATTAGGAGATTACATTGAGCTCTTTCAGGTCAATTGGGGTCGGATAGGATGATGGAAATAACTGCTGCACAAACCAATCGTATATAATAAAGCTCAACAGATGCTAAAGCTGTGCTATGACCTCAATTCTCCATGGGAACAGCAGAAATATATCAAAACACACAACAAGGTCTGTTTGCTTGGGGAGAGTTGTGCAGCTCATTGCATTACATCTTCATCACGCACAACATCAGACACTCTTGTGTACGTACCCGGCACGTTGGATACGTACCATGGATATTGATCGCCGCTAAAATTGTACTGCGAATGTCACCAGCGCAGACAACAAGGAAGGCCGAGGTCAGCGAGTCAATGCACGTTATATAGACGGAACCTTTTTAAATGGGTAACAGGGTTTCTGAAGATGATCCAGGGCGACCTTTGCAGTCTCTTCCTCTTTGTCCACACATACAGGATTCAAATTCTTCACTCACACTCAAGAACGTCCACGGCGAGAACCGGTACTGTCGGGGACGTAAATCCAATATTCACTCTCCTTTAGGCTTTATCTCCATGAGCTCCATCCCTGCAAAACCTTCTTCTGTGTTTCGCCAGCTGGTAACTAAAGTGGACTGTTTGGTGCATTAAAGTGGTGAACGGTAAACAGGTGACTGCTGCTGGAAACATGTTTAATGACAACAGGGAGAAAGGAACGAGAATATTTAGCTGGAAGACGCCGAACGCACCACAGAGGGCGAGTTAGGTTCTTCGTCGTGCTGCTGCTTTAAAAGACAAAAAGCATCGTGGGCCGTAGTGCAGAAGCGTGGAAGCCCCGGCGGCAGATGGCTTTGAGGCGCTGGTGGAAACACTAAATTCAGTGTTGTCAGTGTATCAAGTTGCAAGTGATTCCCCCAAAACAAGATTCTTAAACAGCTGCAGCAGCTGTCATGAGAATGTGGAGCAAACATCACACACACACACACACACACACACTCTGATACGCAGTCAGCAACAGCTGTACAGTGTGATAAGCTCTGAACCGCCACCCTGTAGAAAACGGCCTCAACAACCACTGCAAATAACTTGAGTAAGGTGTACACATTATGCTACATGCAGCTAGCGTGGTGTTTTTTGATCTAGTGCATGTTTAGCAGCACCGTGAACAACGAGGGTGAGGAGGATGAGGAGGGTGATGTTTAGATTTTCAAACGTTGGGACTTTGAGATGCGTGCAGGTTCCCCTCCTGCTTCTTACCAGCAGTTGATTGGATTGTGACCAGTTTCATCCCCATAATGCAGGAAGCCCTTAAGCATTCCTCCCTTGTGTTTTAATCTTCATTTTATTTCAGATTTACCAAATTATGTCGTAATAATCCTTTTTCATGCTTTAAACTTGTAATCCAATACAGAGGAACCGTCTTTTTTTTCAAAACCTTACAGAGAAACAGATTTATTTTTCACTTGAAAATTGAACACAAAAATTGGATTCAAAGAAAATAATCGTTGTTTTCCAGCTAATGGTTTATATTTATTAAAAAGCATTAAATATCTGAAGTTCAGGTAGTTTTTAGACTTTAAACCTTACCAAACATTCAGGCTTTTACTGTAGCTTAGCCTGGGTTTCCATGTACAAGGACCTCGATAACCTTGAAGTGTGATGGCTGTGCTAATTCCTTAATGAGTGGCAGTAGCTCCTTATTAAATACTCGGTGTCCAGGGACCTAAATGGGATCAATCCAATCTTCTGACAGGATCAAGCTGCTCGGCAATTGAAAATTGTAATCAAAGCTACTCTGTAATTGGTTGCTGTGTGTGTGTGTGTGTGTGTGTGTGGGGGGGGGGTCTGCAGTGAAACTTGAATAAATGAGCCTGTGTGCTAAAGTTAAGGTGGCTTTATTACCTTCCATTGGAGAAAACCGTCTTGTAGGAAGTAAAATTGCAGCATCTGCTCTGTTAGTGGCTGCAGAAATTAAAAGAGACAGACACACATTTTTATCTCAGTGATCTGCAAACTTTTTTTTTTTTTTGTTTGCCACTTGATCTAAAAACGTGAGACCGTGGCGACCCAATTCACAATCACTTCGTTTTGTCCACGTGTAATTAAAAAATATCACGCAGAAGCTACTTTGGGTTTCAATGTCTTGCTCAAGGACGTTTGAGCCGCGCAGAAATCACCGACCTCGCGATGCGGCGACGACTTTCTCTCCCCGCGAAGCAGTTTAACAACATTTCTTACATTTCGTGCGCATGATCGAGCAAACCGATGCTTATCGCTTCAGCTCTACGGCTGATGCTGGACGCTCGCGTTGGGAAACCCAGCGAACTGAGGACAGCAGTTGTCATCCGAGAATTCTGCTATAAATGACTAACGTTGAGAGACTTCACTAGAATGATTGATGTTTGTAGCATCATTCTAAACGTTAATGAGTCCAAGTCCGTGCCCACACGCCCACAGATGGCACAAGCATCTAGTGGCAGAAATCAGTCCTGCCCCCAAGTGCCATTTGTGAGTGTGTGTGTGTGTGTGTGTGTGCTCACTTAGCTGACCGTTTGTGGCCAGCTGGAAGCAGAGACCCGTATTCACTCTTAGTATTAAGACTAGTATTAGCCAAATCATTTCATTGCCTCGCAGGGGGACGTCTTCACTGGATGTTTGTCTTCGAGACGAGTCTTTGGCGATGTTTCGTGGTCACCATAAAGCCACGACGCTGTACCCAGGCCGGCCCCTCGTGTCCCGGTGGAATCCTCCTTGTAATCCAAGTCTGCGTGCCCTTATGTGGGTCAACCCCATCAGTCCCCCCCACCACGCTCCAACCACGCTTCAGCCTTTCAGACCGCGCGCAAGTGCGACTTCAATCACCTGTGGAACAGTCTGGGCCGAGGGGGCTTAACAAAGGTGGGGTGAGAACAGGCTGATTAAATGTCTATATTCTGGTGGATGGGCTTTTATTCCAGTTGGTTCTTTGTGCGGTTGATGTGGTTTTTCTCAGAGGAAAGAAACATATTCGTGCAGAGCTGCTATGGAGCTTTTCCTTCGTTGTTTGTGTGCATGCTTGTGGGTTATAATGTGTTAAGGTCAGCCGCGCAATAATTATGCTTTTAACAATCGGGGATTAGTGACTAAAATGGGCTTTCAAAGCAAAGCCGAGCTTCAAAAAACACAGGAAGGACACAGTAATGTGTGGTTATTGTTGTAGGAATAATGTCGTACAAATGGAGGAGTCGTCTTAATTACTGACAGATTTACTGCAGCCAAGTATGAAGAATGATTCAGTGGTTTTGTTTGATGCCGTAATCAATATGGGCATTAATCTGATTTTGACTTTTGGACTAAGACAACCCACTTAGTCCACTCTTCAACTACATTGTAAAGTTATTGATGTTTGATTCTCACGTGAAGATAAGTACCAGGCTGCAAGCATGATTTGGGGACATTATTGGTGGGGGGGGGGGCGTTCCCAGCTGTGGTATGGAGGGCCGGGTAAAGCCTGCACGGGTTGCTGACACGTAGAAACACACCATTTAGAGTCGTCAACGCACCTGAACTGCATGCCGTTGGAGGAGGGAAGGAAGCCGGAGAGCCCCTCCAGAGAGAACATACAACCCCCCCATCCACAACAGGTTCTACACTCTCTGAATGGTTACTGCAGATTAGTCAGTCTCTTAAGACCAATGTCATGACACGCGTCCTCGGCATGAGACGAGTCAAAGTCACTGTGGCTGCGAGCGTCAGCAGAACAAGCTGCGCCTGCCGCATCCGCAGCGTGATGGAGCCTGAACTCAGCAGAAATGCGTCCATTCAAACTGCACTTGGCTTGAAAGGGTTTTTTGGGAGGCTAATAAAAGGGACAAAATGCTACATTGCACGTAAGGGTCTTTTTAGTTCGCTAACCCTGAAGCACAGGCTGTGCATCGCTGGGGGAGCACCAGTAGCTGCGGCCCCGTGGTTCACCCCCCCAGTCTCCCCATCCGTTGACCTGATATCCACCAAGACCAGTGTGATGGAGAGACGAGCATTTGCACATACAGTAAATGACACAACAATTGTCGCACACAGGAATCCGAGTCGCAGATCTCGTGTGTCTGGTGTTTTGACGTTAGCTCACCACACGTGAGGATTGACAGCGTGACACGGGAAGACTCCTCCGGAGGGCTTTATCTGGGAGATGTGACTGGACCTGTCAGCCCACGTCAGCACACCAGCTGTGGGGGCCCGGGCCGACATCCGGGGTGACACCACCCGTGGTGTTTTGTCATCTTCCTGCTCCCTGACCGGAGAAAGTGAGTGTGTGGCGGAGAGGTATTTTCACAACTCGTGATCCTCAAAATTACAGCGGGGGCCATAAGACGGGAGCCCCCCCACCGCCCTCCCCCCCCGGCTGGCTGTACGAGACTGCGGGCCGCTTAGTTCTTTAAGGAACGTCCCTCGTCCCAGACCGAACAGCGGCTTTGCTGTTTCACGGGACAGCTCGGATGTTTACAGCGGTTTTCTTGATGCAACGCAGTACGTACCACTGTACTTGAAATGTGCACTTTGCATCGGATCGGATCGGGAATCGCTACTAGCTGATGTTATATTGTATCAAATGCCTTGGATGAGCATTTTCTCGGATGGCGCTGTTGTTTTGATCCAAACTTGATTGTGACATTTGAATAATCCTCCGGCTACTTGCGACGTAGAATAGCAGCAGCAGTACTGCTTTCAACGCTACTGCATTTGATTGGCGGGGGGGAGGGGAGGGGGAGGCACTCCCCTGGAGCAGACCACCTCTACCTAAATTCATGCTGAATGTCGGCATTTTACGGTTAAACCCGCGTGGACACTCATCGTCCAGGCTTGTCGCTGGCTCCGTTCGCTCATGTGAATGCGATGTCCTCGAATCCGACAGCGACCCGAGGACGAAGATCACTTACGGTCCCGTTTCCCTCTGTTTTACACCGCTCTCCCTCTCTCAACCTCTTTCTCTCTTTCTTATTATTATCATTAATGAGTCGCCGTTTTCCTTTTTGCCACATTTCTGTGCGTGCCCGGGAGCTGCTGAAATAATCCCTTTTTTATATCGTTTTTTTCCTTCCTTGTTGATGTCATAGTTGTGGCTTGGAGATAGTTTGTGTGAATTCCACAAAACCTCACTAAATGCACCTGACAGAGTCCCAGACACGCACACAAACACACCAAATCCTCCCATTCATCAGGGGCTCATCTTTATTCAGGACTTTTAAATTTGTTGGCAGAGTTACCGATCGCTGGAGGAGCAGACGGTAGCTCGTTAATGAAGAAGGAAAATCCCAAATAACCCTTTCTATAAAATTAAAGAATGGGATTTGATTTGATTGTGTATCCAAGTGCCTCCGCTTAAGGACGAAATAATTCAACGCAGTGAAAGATTGTTAATTGGTTGGAGGCGGTAATTTTGACAAATCAGTCACATTTGATTTCAAAAGTAGATAAAACTCCAAGTAGCACATAAGTGTTGTTTGAGGTTCACAGTGGCGAGATGCAAATATGTAGAATCGGAAAGAAAAACGGGAACTTAACAAGATATTAATTCCTATCTTAAGGATTAACACCATGTCACTCAACATATTAATGGCCACACATCTGTTACTATTTCCATTGAGGCTCTGTTTAAATAGCATGCCAGGGACCCAAAAATACATAAATACAATTCAACATAAACGCATTAATCTATGTGATTAGTGCGGCAGAGGTTAACGGTAAAAATATTTTTTTGTTTTTGTTTTTGACAGTAAGGGGGCGGATCCAGTCACCAAGGTCACCAACATGTAATTGGTTACAAACCCCGTCTTTGGATTGGCTGGAGTGATGCATTCACAGAACCATAGAAGCCCATTTCCGCACTAAAGAAAGGGGATCGAAAGTCGATATTATGAGATAAAACGTTGTCAAAACCCAAACGACACCTCTCTGTAACCGTAGTGGACCATAGACGACAACCAGCAACAACCATAATTTACCATCATTACCGGCACTCTTGCGTCCGGCTCGCAGACCGGTCCGTATTGGTAAAATGAACTCTGAATTGGTGAATATCTTTCAACTTTCAATACGGATCGGAAAAACGGATTTTTGGAAAATCGAAATTATGAAATAAGACATGTGCAGGCTCCTTCCTAGTTTGATAAAGTTGGCAAGATATTCATAGATTCATTAATCGCCATTGATTAATACATTTCAAAATGTGCGATTAATGAGTACATTTTTTTAAATCTATTTACAGCCCTAATAAATTCCCAGGAGGCCTTTGGCCACCTTCCATTTATCAGGTTTTATATCCACTCCTTAGTCTTTCCTCAGGGCCTTTAACCTTGGATTCAGTGCAGCTTGGGACCAATGTGGCAGTTATTACTGAAACTCTACTGAGTTTCTTGTGCCCCCTTGTAGCAACAATAGATATTCAGCCCTTAATAAATCCATTTCTCTCTCTCGCTCTCTCAACGTGTGGATCTGATCCTTAAGACTAGTACAAAATAGGCCTCGTAAATAAGGAGACCATATATCATCATTGTTTCCCTGGCTTTGGAAATAGAGTTTGCAGATTAAACTAAAAGGGCCGTTTGCTCTACACAATTCCTCATAAAATAATGTAAAGGCCTTATTGAATTCTAAATGGTCAACTATGATGCTAAACCGTGACACACTATTTTAAATCACGATTGATCCACTGTAGTTGTCGTGGAGTAGCACTTTGCAATGATATGATCTATTCATGAGGCATAACAGAGAAATAAGTGATCGGCAACCCGCGTTGCTCCCGTTTCCCTTCACCAGTCCGCTTTCCCCCAAGCGGCCCGGCCCCCCACAACGTGCCGGCTCCACGGTTGGATCCAATAATTAGGGGCTTCGAGCAGGAGAACAAAGTAGGGTACCAACCGAGGATCGCACAGTCTCTGACTGCAGGCTGATCGTCGCAAATAAAAGGAAAAATCACCAGGGGAGGTACCGAAGTGCCGAAGGTCGAATCAGCTGCAGGATTTGCCGTCGCACTTCATCAAAGCGCCTCTGCTGCTCGTGCAAATCTAGCGGAATGGTCGAAGTAAAACGAGTAGTCTCCTTTCGTAACCAGCGGCGCGTCCCGGCATTTGGGACATTTGGACAGGGGTTTGTGGGGGAGTGTTGGGCCAGATATGGGGTGCCCCCTCCTTTATAATCAACCCCCTCAAAGACGGGCCCTAAAGGCCCAGCTTTCTAAAAAGACGTACGTCTGCTCCAGTTCTCTCCGACGTGTCATTCTCAGATTAGAAAGGCGAGATCTTGACTCAATTCTTTGACGTCTCTTTTGGGTTTTTGACGTTGCGATTTGGGGGGGAAGGAGGAGCATTTTTGTCCGTGTGCTCAAGACTTTCTTCAGAATGTCTTCATTTAACTGTCAACAGTCGCCCCGGTGAGCACAGCGGCTGGTTCTGAGGAATCGGCAGGGCGCGGATCTTGTTCTTCATTAGTTCTCGCATAAAACAACTTTCCCATAACCCGTCCTCGGCATGTGTGCCACTTTGTGGAGTCCAAGTGGCATTAAAAGTGGCGGTTATGATGAAATGTGTTTGGATGATTCAGCAGAGCTAAGCTGAGCGACCCTTTAGCCACCTTTTTTTTTTTTTTCAATGCATAATATTGAAATATTTATTCCACCAAATACAAACTGTCCCATTTAATTTCCTTCTCTCACTGTCTCAGAATGTCACACTCAAAATTACAGGTAGATATTTAGTTATTTTGCAACCGTCCGTTGACGCAGTTGCTTTAATCAGGAAAGCCTCTCAGTACCATGTGCAATAACGCTCCACTTTTCCCGTGGCACTTTGCTGTGGCAGTTTCCAAATTGCTTTCTTTTGATGTTTGTGGGAAGTGACTTTCAGCATAAAAGCAAAGTATGAATGCCCTCATGTGGTTGGAGCTGCTATCTCTTTGAACCACTTCTTCCATCTTGCACACAGCACTGAGTGCTAATATACCCAAGCAAGAAAGTACATTTCCAGGTCAGGGAAACGCACGTCTGACAGTTCAGTTTGCACCGGCCCTCACACTGCCGGGATTTCGGAGCAATTTAAAATTGAAATTTCATGATATGAGATATGCAGTTTTTTTTCTAATTCAGTACATATTCCGAACTAATTGAAATGTTTTAATCCCGTTTGTTTTTTTCTCACGCCAGCATACATTAAAATGAGCACTGTGCAGGATGTTCTGCCAAGGACTGCTTTCGAAAACACCTCAGCCCAATCCCACTTATCCCACTTATGCTGAGGATTTGGACCGTTACATTATCAAAATATGTTTCTTTTATTTTCGCAAAGAGGCATCATATTCACACAAAACAACAGTTGGTCAGTGGACAATTTTAAAGTGTATTTTTCTGAAAATAGTTGTATTAAGTCACTTAACACAACTATGTTATGGTCAAAACGACTCCTAACACCACCGACAGTACCAAGGTTTGCTGTTTAATGACTCACTGCTTGAAAACATTCATCCGGTACGGTGGAACTGTATCTCCCCTTGTAATCCGAAGCAGTCTGGAGGGAAAACAGACAGATAAAAACGAGTCCAACAAAGCGTGAAGGTGGCAGTCTCATGCCGCGGGGGCTCTTTTTGCCACAGAGGGACAAAGGATTTGTGAGGTTGGAAGAAGAAAAGCGGTCACACTGGAAGCCCTGTGTTGTGGTGAAACATGAGGGACAAAAAATATGGCGGGAAAAAACTGCCAAGAGGAGCTTCAATGATCCAACCCAAGCAGCCGATGAGCAAGTAGAAGCAGAATATTTAAGAACTGCACAAATCACATCTAACCCGCTGCATTTCCCTCCAGCGCCTTCAGGACAAGAAAGTGTCAGTTTTCATATGACAAAGGGAAAGCCGGGTCGTAAATCCCCTTTTGTCTGTGGAAAGACCTCAGTGCAGCTGCTCGGACTCTTCACTTGGATCGGAGAAAAACAGCCCTTGAGAAAATGGGCCGAAATCCTACTTCAAACGCTTCAGGCCGACGCAGACTCAGAGGTGTCATTACTGACAACGTTAATTAACTATTGCATTGGTGGTTACAACCAATTTCGGTGATGTCTTTTATTGTCAGTGTGTCTAAAAACAACCGGCACATTCACCGTGCGTCGCTTTGCCCAGACTGCGTAGCTAAAACGGTCGAAGAGACGATTGCAGAAATGGGGGGAAAAAGAAGGGACACGGCACCGTATCTCTCCTCAGGCCAAATGAAAACTGAGTGATGTGTCAAACACAGTCACGGGGACGGAGGCAGAGACAGAGACAGTCGGGGACAGGAGTCCAACAGCCAAAAGAGCCAAGCTGCTTGTAGGCCGTTCACACAACGCCCTCGTCAAGGTCAAGGCTGTTAATAGTGAGTGACTTTAGGTAAACTCCCGTAACAGGGGGGTTAGAGCAGCTAATGACCAAAGGGATGGAAGTGGAGCTCCTTAAAGGGGATCTCGTTTGCGTGCTTTGCAGCAGCCAGGCCTTATCTCTGCACACACACACACACACCTGTTCACCTGTTCACCTGTTCCAGAGGACGATACATAACACCGAGCTCCATCAATAACCAGGTCTATCTGTGAAATCTAACGGCTTATCTAACGGTGATCAGCCATTTGTCTGTGCACACTGTGGGTGAGTAGAGAGCACCGTCGTCCTCCAATCAAAGGATAAGCCGCCTGTCCGCGTGCCCTTGGGCACTTCACCCCGACATTGCTCCTGTAGCTGTGACTACTGTGTGTGAAGGCTAGTTACCGACGGGCAGGCGGTCATCAGTGTGTGAATGGTGGAACCATGATATGAAGAGTCACAGCGCTTTGAGTGGTCTGAGGAGTAGAAAAGTGGTCCTCACGAAGATAGATAAATGGAAACAGCACACGCACGCAGAGCTAAACCCTCTGGCAGCCGTGGGACCTTGTTTTAACAGCAGGTGCACCTAATTCCTTGCTTAAAAAAAGCACAACGATTTGTTAATAGTCCCAAGTCATCCCTTGGCAGGAGAAGAGTTCTGCAGGTATGTTCCATGGGAGATAACAGCGCTGGGATTCTGATGCTCCGGGGAGACTGACAGCTCTGCAGCGGCTCGGGGGGGGGGGGAGGGTGTCTCATGGCGACAGTCCCGGTGTCAGCGCAAAAATGAAATTGCTCTGCACTGATTCTAGAGATACGTGCGTCGTGCTCAGCTCCCATCCGACGTGCAGCAAATGCATGTTGTCATCTGAAAGGGTGTTTAGCATCGGCGGCTGGATGTGAACTCGCCATTAGGCCTCATAACATTGTGCTCACTTCTGCACGTGGAACAAATTCCGCTAGTATTGAAGTGACAGCTGTGAAAACGCCGCGCGACTAGATGTTAGGATTCTGCATCACCCTCGTGACAGGCAGCGCAGCAGTGAATCATGATGAAACACAGAGGTTTGCATTATTGTGCTTACACACACACACACACACATAACGAGGCCGTGGCCCCTGTGCCCTTCTTGCTGCCCCCCCCCCCCTTTCTAATTCTTCTATTTCTCTTGCATTATTCACCAACATCAGCGGGCGTATGCAGAATCATTTGGGTAAACAACCAAATATACAGAGACATGAATAACAGCGGATGCTTTCCATCTCAATATCCAGCCTTGAGGCCCTTGTCCTTGTGCGTTATGTAATGAAGTAGGAACAATGACATATGGATTCCTCCAAAGGATTGTTCTGGGGGGGTTTTGTGCATTTTCAGCATATTTACAAATCACGTACACTTAAAGTACTGCCAGCCCTTTTCCTAAGCATTAAAGAGATTTTTTTAGGACGTTCCTTCCCGCCAGACTCTCAGTTTTCTCAGTTTTCTCTCTAATCTCAGCGGCTCCGATAATGAGGAGCCTCCCAACGCCTTCGTCTGAACTAATAATTCTGCAAATGTCTGAACTAATAATTCTGCACGCTCCTAGTACATCACTCTCTTGTTTACTTGGGTGACCGCTCTGCTCCGTCTCAATGACTCATGTGTTCCTCCCCTTGTGCTGTCCCGTCTGCAGGGAACATCTTCGTGGTGAGTCTGGCGGTGGCCGACCTCTTGGTGGCCATCTACCCGTACCCTCTGGTCCTCACCTCCATCTTCCACGATGGCTGGGACCTGGGCTACGTCCACTGCCAGATCAGCGGCTTCCTCATGGGCGTCAGCGTCATCGGCTCCATCTTCAACATCACCGGCATCGCCATCAACCGCTACTGCTACATCTGCCACAGCCTCAAGTACGACAAACTGTACAGCGACGCCAACTCCGTCTGCTACGTCGTGGTGATCTGGGCGCTGACCGTGGTGGCCATCGTGCCCAACCTGTTTGTGGGCTCCATCCAGTACGACCCGCGCGTTTACTCCTGCACGTTCGAGCAGTCGGCCAGCTCGGCGTACACCATCGCGGTGGTCTTCTTTCACTTCATCCTGCCCATCATGATTGTCACGTACTGCTACCTGCGCATTTGGATACTGGTCATTCAGGTGCGGAGGCGGGTCAAGCCGGACAACCGGCCCAAGCTGACGCCGCACGACGTGAGGAACTTTGTCACCATGTTCGTGGTGTTTGTGCTTTTCGCCGTGTGCTGGGCTCCGCTCAACCTCATCGGCCTGGCGGTGGCGATCAAGCCCAAGGAGGTGATTCCCCTCATCCCCGAGTGGTTATTCGTGGCCAGCTACTTCATGGCCTACTTCAACAGCTGCCTTAACGCCATCGTGTACGGCGTGCTGAACCAGAATTTCCGGCGCGAGTACAAACGCATTGTAGTGTCGGTGTGCACGGCGCGCATCTTCCTCCAGGACAGCTCCAACGACGCCGGGGAGAGGATCAAGAGCAAACCGTCTCCACTCATGACCAACAACAACCGGGTGAAGGTGGACTCCGTCTGAGTGAGAACGCCAAGAAAAAAGAAAAAAAAAACCCGAAGCAAACGTATGCTGTGACTTGAGCGGGGAAAAAAAACAAAACACAAAAACAAATGTGAGAAAAATACCAAATATGAGTATAAAACGGTTTAGTCATACGGTGCTATCGGACCTCTGAACCATCAGGGGTGCATATTATCTTTTTGTCTTTTAATCGAGCACTCCTGTTTGACTCTGAAGTACCTGTAGTACAGTAAATCTATGATGTCCGTTTGTTTTACATATTTACAGTGATGATTTAAATGTATCATGCATTATGTACGTATTTATTTTATATGAAATGTTGTGTAGATATATGGTGGGATATATCTGGTTCCATTTAAATGAAAACAACATTTTATCCGGCTGATGGAAAAAAAAAAAAAGACAAAAGTTGGTTGAAAATATAACCAACAATTTGTATAACCTCATTTGTGACACTGTTACACTAATTGAGTGCAAGCATTGTGAGTTGCTGCTGTCTTATTATACTGCGATACATTAAGTGGAATATATATTTGAGTATCTCTCTCTTTTGCTCTCTCTGCCACCTTGTGAGTTAATTATTCTGTATGCATGGATATGCAGGAATCGTTCTAATGCAAAATAAATCTGATATTGATGGACAATGTTTTTTTAGTCCTGTGTCCAATTTTCTTCCAAATGCAAGTTTGTTGCAATCCTCTGACTTTGGTCGCTTTACATAATTTAAACCATGTGACATAACCGTTATGTAGTACTTCTCAGAGTAATTACTTAGATCTCTGCACAGAGGAAGTTCAACTGAGCGAGAAACACAAACTGCATGACTTCGTTCTAGATTTTTGTTCCAATTTTATTATTACAAAAACTATAAAACATGCATAACCAAATGACGACTCTAGCTTCATATGTCCAAGGTGTATTGACTTTGTTCTTTTTGCACACTGGAGTTTTGAGGACACTGCGTGGTACCTGCTCATACTTCTGTATGCGGCAATATCCGAGTTTAGGTATTTCGAATCGTAATCATGAGTCAAAAAAATGGCTTTGGAACATCTGTAACTATGACGAGGCTTTGTGTCAGTCACTCACTGCCTGTGCTTAGGAGACAGGGAGCCGTCATTGTTTGTGTGTTGCATCGCGTGCGCCGGCCTTCTGGTCAGTGCAACATCAGACAAAGGCTCGATGCATCACCGGGGACAACGGCTCAACTTCCGCATTTGAAATCCACTTGGCTTACGTAACGGCCGGTGACCGTCATCCTCTGAGCAAAAAGCTGAAAGAGCCGGCTCCCGGCAGACTCCCTGCCCCCTTCTGTTTAATCCCAAGAGCTGTGTGTAGCAGGGAAGGACGCGACGGGTTGTGGATGAGCAAATGTAAAAAAGACCAGGGATTTACACTGCCCCAAAAACGGAGTTATACTGTAATCCGGCCCCAAAGACGTTTAAAGCCCAGGATGTACATCAATAAAGAAGAGAAGTCAGGTGTTACGTGATCTGTCACGTTGATACCCATCTACAATAACCTTTTCAATACCAATAAAAGAAAATGTGTCCTTTACTGTGGCAAGGCATCTGATCAAAGTACCAGGAGAGCCGATTTCATATCAGAGCACAACTAAGCCCACAATGTCTTCAATAAAGCTCGGAAATCTGTGAAACTTTGACAGGAAGGAGCTCCATTTTTTTTGCGAAATGTTGGACACCAGACAAGCAAAATCCGTGGAGTGTTGATCTGTATAAAAAAATAAAACACACACATGAAAAGAAGTGTTCTTCTTTAGCTACTCTCTGGTCAGCCTCATCTAGTGGGCCGCGGAGGTACTGCCCAATGGCTTGATTGAATTGAAGAAAATATTCGTTTTGGTAATTGGGTCTGTAGTTTGATGAGCCAATCATTAGGCGGTTCAGACTGGGTAGAAGGACGCCATTGGCCGACTTTATGTCGGCTGGGACTCTCCTCCCCTTCGGCTCTGTGATTTACGGCCCTCGCACACTGCATCCTGGACTCGGCGCCACCAAAAGTGATTTAAAGAAACACAAACAAGCCAGAGCGCTCTTTGTTTCTCCCCTGTTCCAAAAGCATGGTGAGCAGCAAGAGTCAGAGGAATACAGGAGCGGGAAAATGTGTTCATATGAACTACTTGAGTCACTCTTGACATATTTTAAACTGGAGCGGTTGTCACATGACAAAAGTTATTCAAGAAGGTCATTTGAAAAATGTAAACATTTCATGCCTATTCTTGTCACGGTGTGGTTTTATTTCCTGTCTTATTTTGTAGTTTTCTGCTTCTTGTCTCCCTGGGTAACTTCACTTCCTGCTTTGTCCTGTCATCGTCTGTGATTGTCTGATTGTTTCCACCTGTGTCCAATCCCCTGCACCTCCATACAGTATTTAAGCTGTGTGTGTCTCCTGTCGCTTGTCGTGTCATTGTTTGTCGTCCTGGATGTGCCTTGTCCCTGTCTACCGTCTGGATGGTCCTCGTTCCTGCCTGCCTTTTTTCCCCCCCGGTACTTGTGTGTTTTTGCCCGTTGGCCTGTTACTTTGTTGGAGTTTTTGACTATTAAAGTCCTTTTTGTTTCCTGCAAACTCTGCGTTTCAGTCCTGCATCCCCACCAGCCCATTCTTCACAATTCTTTTATTCTTGCATCCTTTTTTAACTCCAGAGCGGTTCTTCAATGAATATGGATTCTCAAACCTGAGCTCCTTGGCTTGTGACATTATTTTAACAAAGCCTTTGATATTTTTACTTTCAACCTTTGAGCCTCCAACCCTTGAATGAAGTTTGATGGATACAGGATGTTTAAAAAAAGGGGTGTCAATACTACATTTAATGACATATGTACATCTATGATTATTGTCCTGCTTCGCAGTGGCCTTTATTCAGCTGTGCCTGCAAGCAGCGACCTTTACATTAAATCTAGTTGATGTAAAAATATTGATCGGTGCAGCTTTAGGGGATTGAAAGATAAAAAAACGGCAGAAGAAAATCCAACAAACCCATAATCGACCTCAACAGAGGTTGAATATCTAACACATTTCGTGTGAGAAGGTTCGACTGTGCCTTTCTATTTTGGCCACCTTTAAGTCCCAATTAAAGCTGAGTTGTGTGGTTCTGATTCTGGACAAGGAGGATTCAGTGCTGCCTCGTCTGAGGAAACACTTTACTTACACACACAGTCCTCTGCAATTGTAATAAAATAAATGCAATTTATTCAGGATAACACACCACTTGTCAGAAGTGAGCCATTAAAGGAAGGAAATTATTCCTTTTAATTAAAAGTTTTTTCGTCCTCCAGCTGTCATCCAATATTGGAAGTTGTTTTTAGTTACCTTGTACTAATTTTCCTGTTGGACAGATAAAGGTTATGCACGCTGAAGATGCTCATAGTTTATATCATTATAATGATAATGTTAATGTTATAGTTGGCTAAAGACATTCGGTTTCTTTCTACATTCTACCAAAAAACTAAACACACTCCTTTTAAAATGATTTTTACAATAACATCACGTGCCTGTGTGGTCGTGAGTATGTTTTCCGTGCCCTTGTTTCCTCCGATGTCCTCGGGTTTTATCGGCGATTGAAGTGGAGGAGCAAGCTCTGTGTTCTGTACTTATGAGATCTGAACACGTATATTAAAAAATACCACGGATTGACATTGAAGAAAATACAAAAAGTCTTGTATTGTTGACATTTTTTCACTGTCACTTCATGGAGAAAAACATTTTTACATATAAAGGTGAACATTTTTAGTTTTCAGAGATATATTTTCATGGCCACAAGAACTTTTTGTGAGGAGGAAAATATCCACTTAACGCTCTCTGAGAAAATAACGCTGCTTTGTAATTCACATTTGCATTTTTCATTTAGTTGAAGCTTTTACCCGAAGCGACCCACAATAAGTGCATTCAACCAAGAGGGCAGAGACCAAGAACAACAAGAATCAAGAAGGAGAAGATTTCTTGTTCTTCAAGAAAGCCAAACTACAAAGTGCTCTAAGTGCCATCATAAGTGCTGATAAAGTGCTACCTAGTCCAGTGTAGTCGGTAGAGGTGTGTTTCTACTTTGGAAGCTGTATCAGCTTCTACTGTTACTTCAAATAACTGGTCCTCTGTTTACACAACTGGTCGCCGCTCACTGTTCACTGACCTGAAACAAAAAAAAAAAACTTTAAACATTCACATTAAACGTATCACTGGTTTGCCAAAGAATACATGCCAGCATTTCTTTCCTGGCAACTGTGCTGAAAACATTTTTTGTTCCAATTAGCTCAAAGGCAGAGATGGCCGAAACAAACATGTGAGGAAGTACCTGAGGCCTGTCTCACTGAACCAGATCACCAACATTTTATCACCATAACGCCTCCTCAACTGAAAACATAAACTACTACTAAACTAAGACAACTACTTCTTTGAAATTCTTTGAAACGCCCCCTTTTGGTCAGTAGAGAGAATGCAGGTTTTGAGGAGCTTCAGGAAAAGGCTTCAATCAGCAGAACAAGAGTTTCTCAGACTGAAATCCATCTCTTATCAGGAGTAGCAACATGACACTTAACATTTAAGGACTAATTTTAGTTAATTTCACCTCCCGATGACACATTTGAACTTCCCTACGATTTCATTATGACTCCGGAGCCACAGAGGCATTTGATTCAATATTGTAGGAAAATGACTTTGAGGAGGAGGATAGGTTTCAAGTTGGGGCTTTATTAGAGTAGGAGCACATGACATTAAGCTAGCATAATTCCTTTTTTATTCATCTGTGTGTGTGTGTGTGTGTGTGTGTGTGTGAGCGCTGGATTGACACTGCCGGGAGAGAACCGGAGATGACTCACATTGAGGCGCCGGGTTTCCGTTGGCTCTCAGAAAACACTGACACGCTTTCTAGGCCCTCGTCCTTTTTATTACTTTTAGATTCTAAATATCCCGTGGACCTGTTTTCATTGGACAGCAACTCGGCTGCTCCAGTCACGAGTGCATGTGACTGTGATGAGGTGAGCCTCGAGGAACGCACAGGGGAACGTGAGGCCGATATCATAATAGATTGAGGTGAGATGTGTGTTGTCCTAATTAGTGTGATACTACTTTTACTTTGGGAGATGATTGGATTTTTATTTAAAAATGTGATTTTCAGGTGACATCGGCACCTGCCATGACACCGACCTTTTCTGTGGGTGTGTGTTAGAGGCACGGACGCACATACACACACTGCACTCCAAAGCCTTTCAACTGAACTTGCACGTCAGTAGAGAAAGCATAGGTGCTACTAAAAACATCCCAAAGTGGTTCTGAACTGCGCCTCGTCTGGAAAGCAATCAAGATCAGCAAGGTGCAGGTTCTCGTGTGTTTGTGTTTGGATTCGATGGCGGGATTCTGCAGGGTTCTGCCGGCGCTGCACTACGCCGCTGCACCCCGACCATCTCCAGCGACTGTCGGCCCACACGAGCAGACGGATGAAAGGCCGAGGTCGCGTACGGGACGAGCGGTGAGATGGACACGAACGCTAAAGGACACGCTTCTCTTCATACCTGGATTAGAAGGAATGATGCCGTTTATTTTCTTCGTTTCACTTTTGCTCTTTGCTTGAACTTGATTTGACAGCCCCAGCGGTTAGCACATTAAAAACATCCCTGAGGCAAATACAAATAAAT